AAGCTATAAACTTTATACGTTACTCAGTTCAGAAGATATTTTTTTTTTGTGTTTCTCCATTAACGCGCTTCTAAAGGTTCCCATGATTTATTCATATCCCAGAAGCACCGTACAGCCATCACAATCCTATTATCAGATTCGTCACGTTGAGAAAACACCACTTTAATACTATTAGATCTATTTTTTCATCTAATTGGTGTTCGTCATGGATATGGTAAACCGTGATCTAGAACTACTCTTCTTCAGTGGCGGGGTTTTATCGTGGGTTTCGAACCAAGATAGTGAGAGATATTTTTTGCAGAATAACTACCCCCGAACTTTTGTTAATGAACGAAATTTTTGATAAAAAACGACGCATTGATGATCAGAACAAGGAATTTATCAATGCGTTATATGGCAGCTCTGTTAGAAAATACAAATAAAATATATCTGAAGCACAACTCAAAACATCTGTTCGAACTTGAAACCTCAAATCGAAAACGATCTGCAAAGCAACTTGAATTATAAGGCAAGGATTGCCTGAGTTCATATATAGGACATAACAAACAATATATACTAAGTGACATATAAATCCGAACACCCAGTTTAAATGGTTTTATTTTAATAAAATTTTGTATAAGTACTTAATGAAGCATAATAAGTAAATGATAAAAATTTCAAAATGATTGCACTGCTTTAAAGCCCTTTGACCTTTAATAATGTGTGGATGCACCCTGATGTGCTACGCATTCTCCAACGCGCCTAGGCATGCTTCTGATCAGGTGGTCAATGTCCTCCTGTGGTATTTCATTCCAGGCAACCACCAACTAGTCTCGAAGTGCTTCTAGAGTCTGAGGAGGACGTTGCAAATTGAGCAATCTCCTACCCATCATATCCCACACGTGCTCAATTGGGGATAATCGGGAGATCTTGGTGGCCATGGTAACAATGTGACATCATTATGTTGAAAGAAGTCTATTGTGACTCTTGCAACATGTGGTCGGGCATTATCTTGTTGGAAAGTTGGATCTGTCAGGGTGTCAAGATGGGGTTCTAGAACTTCGTGGATATAACGCTGCGCCTTCATGTTACCTCTGATGAAGATTAAAGGTGACCTGGAACCATAAGCTATAGCACCCCAAACCATAACTCCAACAGTGTGATGAACATGTCCTTCAACAAAAAACTGTGGATTCCTCCTTTCACCACGTCACCTTCTAACCCTGGCACGACCATCGTGCATGCCTAAACAAAATCGAGACTCGTCACTAAAGACAATACTGTTCCATTCCTGATCCCAGAGTGACCGTTGTCTGCACCACTCAAGGCGATTACGTCGGTGTTCTCGAGTTAAAGGGAGGACCCAGTGTGGCCGGTATGAAAACAAGCCAAAACTACTCATTCGTCGGTAAACACTTCGCATGCCAATATGTCTTCCGTGTTCTGCAAACCATTCATTTGCAATGGACCTGGTAGTGGAGAAACGGTCCCTTAAGGCCAATAATCTTAGGCGGCGATCTTCACGGTCTGTTGCTCTACGGCGGCGTCCAGTGCCGCTTGCTCTTTGCGTACGGCCTTCTCGAAGCCATGCCTGACAACACCTAACCACAGTGTCTACACTTCTTTGCACTGTAACTGCAATTGCCCGAAAAGAAAGTCCAGCTTCCCGAAGTCCCACTATACGGCCCCTATCAAACTCACTAAGTTGACGAAATCGTACAGGTCTCCGTACTCTAAGCATCGTAACCGATCGTAAAGGATGTCAAGAATCAAAATCCGCCAACGTTGATTCTTTACTGCGGCTGAAATATTCATTTTTAGAGCGTTAGTGAATTAAAAAGAAGCAGTATAAAAACCGGAATGTCCAACTGATAAGGCTGAAAATGTTTTCACTTGTTATTTACAGTAAGATAAATACATTCACCAACTTTTATTAAAATAAAACCATTTAAACTGGGTGTTCGGATTTATATGTCACTTAGTACATAAAATAAAAGTGACATGTCCACCACTTTACACACCAATCAACACGTGTAAAAATTCTAGACAAACTAGAACTGATACAAATAATCTATTTGTTTTTGTGCTATAGATTTCCAGCCACCGATCTTTCACTTGTCAAACGATGTCAACTTTCATGCCTAATCCTAAAGTTTTTATAAATTGTAACTACTGCTACCATGGATACAGCTTTCATTAGGCTTAAATGTTCTCATTAACTTAGTTAATAACATTTAGCAACAATCTCACCTACTTTTGTAAGTAATTTAAGATCAATTATGTAGTTGCTATTTTTCAAATGTTTTGTAGCTCCTGATGATGATGGTAAAGTTTATCGGAAGCTAGAGAATAAAGTAATAAGAGTACACTTTGCTATAATTTTTCAAGGTTCCCAATACAGGGTGTCCCGAAAAGAGTGTGCAATAATCTACCAGCGATTTCTAGAGCTTAAAATAGAAAGAAAAGTTTATATAAAAATAGGTCGGCAAACGTCCCCTAAGGGCGCTACGGTCTTTTAAAGGGGCTCCCCTGAACATGGTTTTTCCTTAATATTTCCGAAACGTGTTGAGATAAAGACATAAAATTTTGATATTCTCTTACGGCTGCCATCGCAAAACCCGTACACAAAATGCGTGTCAGTCAGTTCTCTGTCTGTAAATCTTGGCATTTTAAATCGATTTAATAAAAATTTTGATATAAATCTAGTAATTTTACACTGCTAGCAATGTCAGCTTAACGTCAAAATAAGTCATAACAAATCAAAACAACTTTTGTTTGCAGTCATGGCTAACTATGTATAATCAACAATTCATTTAAATTCGCAGTACGTTTCCTATCATGTGACAAATTATTTAGTTTGATTTTATTCAAAAATGGCACAATTTATCGATATTCAATAAGAGTATCTTTTTTATGTAGAAAACCCTAATGTTTCAAATTCTAAAATTAGATTTCAAAAATAGAATCACACAAAAATGTTGGGGCTAAAATAACCTGAGTCCGCCCCTGTTACAAACGCTTCCAAACAAGACTGTCTAAAATTGTTAATATTTTTAAATCCAGCATAAAAAACTAGGCTAGAATACCAAATTTGATGTCTTTATCTCAACACGTTTCGGAAATATTACGGAAAAACCATCTTCAGGGCAGCCCCTTTAAAAGACCGTAGCGCCCTTAGGGGACGTTTGTCGACCTATGTTTATATAAACTTTTCTTCATATTTTAAGCTCTAGAAACCGCTGGTAGAATATTGCACACTTTTTTCGGGACACCCTGTATATATAAAATTGAAAAGCAGTGGTCCCAATACAGATCCCTGAGGGACACTCTGCTCAGCAGCATACACATCAAATACTGTACTTCCAAGGTTCACTCAAAGCTCCATGTATGAGATCAGCCGTTAAACTAAATCTCTCATACGCGTAGTATATTATTTTTACCAACTAGTAAGCCTTTCTGTATATCAATATCACATTTGACTATCCTTTTATTAACCTGCTGGTGTAATTTTTGAGGCTTTTGTTTAATTATAGAAAATCATATGTACCAGAGATGGCGTTTAAATTCGCCGATCTAAAGAATTTAAAACCTGAACTGATATCAACAGTCAGGAATACAAAACTGCAAAGGAGCTCAGTATTCGCAAGCACAAAAGACCGCAGCTCGCACTGTAATCAAATTAATTCGTGAATCTAGAACAACCGGAATTGGAGCAATTTGACAAAATCCTTAAAAAAAGATAAACTATTTTTAGACCATAACACAAAGCCTGCCTAGTGATCTTCACAATGCCTCTTTGCTCTCTCCTTTCCTCCCGCTTTCTCCTTAAAATTACCTGCTGTCTGCATTACCACCCAACTAGCAAAGTAGTGCTATAAACTTTTGGTAAAAGAACCGTTCAGCCATAAAAGCTCTCAATTGTTGTTGCCTGAACACCAAAATGCTGGCTTAACGTTGCGTGGAATGCAAATTTGCTATCTGCAACATATTTGCTCTAAAATGAGGTGTTTAAAGTATTCTTATAGCATAGTTACACAACGCCCGATAGGACAAATTTTTAAGTGTTGTATAAACATTTATACAACAATTTTATACGGCATATTTGCAGGTTAGTCAAAATGGTTGTGTTGTGGCATCCACGGTAACGTTTATGAAACAAACCCGAGCCTTGTTGTTTTGCTGTGGAAAATATGAATCAAATACGAAGCCGGTAGAAATTGCGTAACTACTTTACACGATAATCACAATAAAATTTGCTGCGCAAGTAATTCAATAGCCCTATATCACAGTGTAGAAGTTTATCATATACCTGTGTATGAAAATTCACAATGGCCGATATGTAAGTAAACAAGATGACTGTAATGTGTTAGTTATATATTCTTCACTTCGTCTATACAACACATAAGAAATAGTTCGGTTGCAATAAAGTAGAATCACGTAACAGAATAGTTGCATAGTTGACAAAGACTGAATCTTGCACTGACGCAGATGTCCTATAGCGGCTGCAAGAGGCTTATACTTTTGTTGTATAACTGTTACCTGCTGCCCTTATACAACCTCTTAACACATTGACTGCGAACTGGGATGAGGATACCCACCTCAGAAACTGAAATACTTTTTTCCTTTTTTTGGAAGCCGGCAGAGAGCGTCGAAAGACGCCGTTCGCCTCCACAGGAGCGGAGGGCGTCTTTTGACGCTGTTCGCACTGAACGTGTTAAATGACTGAAGTGTCCTATTAGGTGTGTCCATTCCGCTTGTATAGCTGTTCTAAGAGGGTTTTGCCAATGTTCTGACAGTATACAATGCTGTGTAAGGAATACTGTATAATCATTTTTGCAACTCTAATAGGAGTGATAATCGTTAGTTGGGCAGACCTGACATACTGACATACAACTGACACTATGACACAAGAGCTAACGCCCCGCGGACCGCTCCGACAACCAACGATGACGGGAAGCTCAGTCTTAGAATCCCGCATCTTGTACCTAACGAAAATCTAAACTCGCTTCTCCTTGTTCCAGGTGTGGTTCCAGAATCGGCGCGCGAAATGGCGCAAGCAAGAAAAGGTCGGTCCCACCGGCCACCCGTACAATTCGCCGTACCTCAATCCGTCAACTGGAGCTTCCGCTCAATCCGTGGTCGCACCGACGTTGCCGAATCCGTTCAGTTTGCCTTTCGGTCTCCGGAAGCCGTTCGATTCATTGGCTGCCTTCCGGTACCCGCCGCATGCGATGTTGCCGGGGTACTTGCCGTCGCCTCCGTCGTACCACCACAGAGGGGCGCCACCGCCGCTCTTGCCACCTTCAGCTCATGGTAAGCAAGATACAAAAAAATATTCAAATAGTTTTGAACTCCGATTTCTAAAGTTTGAATCATGAAACTAGTTTCTTTAAATTAAAAAAAAAATGCCTATTCTTATATAGATATATATGATATATATGATGATATATGAAGTTGAGTCATTAATTTTCAGATAATGATTGTAGAAGGAAGATAAACCAAAATATGTGTGTAAAAATTAAAAAAAAATGTTACCTTGTTTTATAAAGTATCCTCCCGACAAGTATTTCAGTGCGGACCTGTATTTGATCGTGAGGTCTTGGAGCACCGGCATGCCCTCCCCTGTGAGGTCTTAAGTCACCTGATTCACGAGCCCTTTGTACTACATTAACAAAGGCACTAGGGGTTGGTTGCACTCGATTGGGAAACCGATCCGCATAAATCCGTGTTGCCGTAGCAGCATTTTGTAAAATAAGAATCATCTCCACAAGTTCAGCATTTTCGTAAACATGTGCCATTTTTTATTTCGTTTGAGCCACACAGAAACACCACTCACGCGTTACCGACTGACACATCGAATGAATACAACTGAATAAAATAAATGAATAAAACATCGTGATAAGCGTTTCAAATTCTTTCGCTTTTTTGTTTCCGATTATATCCGTTGTTGCCAAACACGAGCACATAATATTATTATTGAGACAGGGCGGTACTCAAACTTCTAAAGGGCTATAACTTTGTTACTTTAATTTTACCACAAAAATGTTAAAGGAAAAAAACATTTCTTTTGATCAGATCTACTCACTGTTAAAATAAATGACTCAACTTCGAAGTCACCCTGTATACTAGATTTTTCATTATTGTTACTCAACAATGTTTATGTCTCCCAGATTTTGTATTATAATTTTGTTTGGCCCTGGTTGGTATGAAAAACAGCTTTTAGCTGACACCCGCCAGGTTAAATAAAGGCTATTATTATTATTATTATTATTAAATAAAAATGCAATCGTTTAATTAAATTTACTTAACCGTTTACTTAAATTGATTACACCAATTTATTTGAAATTAAGGAATTATTAAAATGAGTTTCCTTGTTGCGAGTAAAACAATTTAATTACATTTATTGAAACAACTTTTTAAGAAGTTAGTATACAGGGTGTTTCAGTTTATTGTTGCATAACTTTAAGATTCGATAGAACTTTTAAAATTAATGCATAAAGTCTATATGAACATGGGTCGAAAAATGCGTGGCTTCCGAAATACAGGGTGTTTAAATTTACTTTTTAAAATAGTTTTTTTTAAATATTTCCAACAATATTCGATGTATAACAGTGAAAATTGGTATACAAGGGTTTTTTGGTACGACAAAACGAACCATGGGCATAGTTTTACTGTAGCCGCTAGAGGGCGCTCTCTACTGTACCTGTAGTGTATTAAAATGACCAAAAGAACCAAATAATTGAAAATGCATCGAACCTTAAAAATCGAAATATCTCAAAAACGGCTAAATATAACGAAAATTCACAAGAGATCTTTTTTATGTTGAAAAGTGTGAAGAATCAGTTTTTTTATTCAAAAAGCAGAAAATTTCACTAAGAAAAAATTTTCGCCCATTTTAATACACTACAGGTACAGTAGAGAGCGCCCTCTAGCGGCTACAGTAAAACTATGCCCATGGTTCGTTTTGTCGTACCAAAAAACCCTTGTATACCAATTTTCACTGTTATACATCGAATATTGTTCAAAATATATAAAAAAAATTATTTTAGAAAGTAAATTTAAACACCCTGTATTTCGGAAGCCACGCATTTTTCGACCCATGTTTATATAGACTTTATGCATTAATTTTAAAAGTTCTATCGAATCTTAAAGTTATGCAACAATAAACTGTATTTAACCCACAGGGGACCCTTCTAGCCCCTGTTTTTTTTTTAAATAAATAAACCCACAAACTCTGTTCTTTCCAGCCGTGGGTCTCTACCCGTCGGCCAGCTCCTTCCAAACCCTGCTGGCGAACATCTCGGCTGCTCAAAGACCAAAACAAGAGTTCTCAACTACTCCCCCTTTATCACCTGGAAGTGGTTCCTCAGCCTCTGGACCGCCTGAAGTCGACAGAAGAAGCTCCAGTATCGCCTCTCTGAGACTGAAAGCGCGCGAACATGAGTTGAGGTTAGAAATGCTCAGGCAGAACGGCGATCTCATTAGTTAATGTTGGTGTTGGTGATCAACGTGTTGTTATTGTTGAATTTGTACTAAAGGTTGTTTCAGAAATTGAGGAGGGTCTTTGAGATTGATTTACAGCGCACACTGAATAATATGACAGGTTCTTAAAAGAAACCTTAAATATCCGGTTCTCGAAAATTACCATCTGCTTAGGCTAGCGCCCAGGACGTAAAAATATAAATAATGCATTAAGGCAAAGTAATAAAAAGCTCAAACATTGGTCTACACCTGTGAGAAGCTATTTAAACTTGTTACATTATTTTTGTGTGCTCTATATAAATTTAAAAGATTGTCACATATTATGGAACATCTTGTATACATTCTATATGTTACAGAAACGATTTTTATCAAATTTCACATCGTTTGTAAGGAATTTACGTTGGAAAAATTGAAAAAAAAACTTGCTACCCATGAGATTCGAACCTGTGACCATCGCGTCCGTAATTACTAAGCGTAAGAAACCACTTGCGATCGGGAGGTTGTGAGTTCGAGTCTCCTCGGTGGCGAATTTTTTTTTCACTTGCCTCTATGTTGAATTTTCAGAAGCTATGGTGTTTGTGGAAATATGGATTTTTATTTGAATAGTAAGTTGAAATTCTGTTATACAGAAGCGGATTTTATATAATCCAGATTTTATTTAACCGTTTCGGATATAAAATATCCAAAGTTTGTGTAGAAGTAAACGAATATACTTATAAAACATTTTAGAATTTGTCAGATGTTGACGTGGTGATGCGTCTAAGACTGACTCGCCTTTAGACTGCGGCCTTGAATGATTTTTCGCATATCAATAGCGATAGTGCAAGTTGCGGAAGCGTCAATTTGTAGATTCATATTTTGAAAATTTCTTACTGCCTGAGCCAGAAAATTAGATTCGTACCAAGTCTACGTGTGAACCTTGCAAGAGGGTATTTTTGAACCACGTTTATAAAAAAGGGTACATTTTGCTTTAAGTTAACAATAGCTGTGCTATTTGAGTTGATGTGGCTTCATATGCGTTATAATTTTTTATCATCGGCAGTAAGAAATATTCGTGTTTTTGTAAATAATGTGTACTTAGTGAATAATAGATAGTACGTACTATATTGAAACCATCCGTCCTGTATGTAAATAAAATTCTGATAATAATTTTATTTATTGATAGCTCAGAACAAAGATATTTTACGAATTCAGTTGAGCATTACAAGTTGTTGAAATCTAAATATTTTTGCAATTTTTGAGTATTCATTATTTGCTTTATTTACTAAAAAAAGATAATAAAAATTATTTTTAATCATAGTGTCCTGCTATTTCATGGAACGTACTCTTGTAGATTTTATTTTTTATACATATGTATATGTATTATTAGTTATATAGTTCGATAGTATCTACTTTTATTTTTATAAACTAATTATTGTAATTATTACGTATTTGCAATAATCGTACTGTTATTAGCGACTTATGAATAATAATGGCCTCAAATGATCCGTCCAAATATGTACTTAATTTTTTTTTTGAAAATAAATATTTCCTATGTAAACGTTACGTTGTGTATTTGTTCTAACCCTTGAAAAAACAGTAAAAAATAAAACAGATCGACGAGATTTTTACGCAGAAACTAGCGTCTACTTCCCCGAAGGTTTTTGATGCGAATCGAAATTTCTCAATTTGCTCTAGTTTCCGAAAACGATTTTTGCTATATTTGAGGTCAAGAAGCAGAATAGTATATGAGAAAGCATTAATATTGATGATTTGGAAACCACTGCCTCAAAGATAAGATTCGTCCAGCTCTGAAAGACACAAAACTTGTAACATTTCTTCAAAATACCTCAACGTCTTCAACAACAGTTGTCTTTGCTGCTCGATGATGTTCCGTTAGTAATAAGAAACATTAGATTTCTTTTTGTGGGACTAGGAGTATCTTAAGACACTAACATTACTTTTCATTAAATATTCGCATATCATTAACGTACACCCTGTATATTTTTCAGATGGTTTTTATAATTAATGGGTGATTTCTTTGCTAGTATCTTTTTGGCAACACTGTTATTGACAGATGACGCGTGAATCGTGTCTAATGTCATTGTCAAACGTGTTCAGTTTGGTCTATAATTTAACCATGAATCGACTTACGAACGAACAACGCTTGAAAATTATTGAATTTTACTATCAAAATTCATGCTCGGTTTATGGACATTTATGGGCAATTTGGTCGGTCTACTGAGGGAGCAATTCGGAAGCTTGTGACTAAATTTCGAACCCAGTTTACATTATTGGACATTAAACCACCAACACGCAGACGTAGAGTGAGGACTGAAGAAAATATTGCGGCTGTATCCGCCAGTGTTAGTGATGACCTTGAAATGTCGATTCGCCGCCGTTCGCAGAAATTGGGCCTCTCTACGTGGAATATTTTGCGACAGGATTTGGGTGTAAAACCTTATAAGATACAGCTGGTGCAAGAATTGAAGCCACACGACCTCACACAACGTTTCCAATTTGGTGAATGGGCGCTGGCAAAGTTGGAGGAAGATCCACATTTTTATCGAAAAATTGTGTTCGGCGACGAAGCTCATTTCTGGTTGAATGAGTACGTTAAGAAGCAAAATTGCCGCATCTGGAGTGAAGACCAGCCAGAAGCATTGCAAGAGCTACCAATGCATCCCGAAAAAATCACTGTTTGGTGTGGATTATGGGCCGGTGGCATCGTCGGGCCGTACTTCTTCAAAGACGACAATGGTCGGAACGTAACTGTGAATGGCGAGCGCTACCGTGCGATGATAATAAACTTTTTTTTGCCCAAAATGGAAGAGCTGGACTTGGCTGACATGTGGTTTCAACAAGACGGTGCCACATGCCACACCGCTCACGAAACGATGGCCCTATTGAGAGGCGAGTTCGGTGAACAGTTTATCTCACGTTTGGGGCCCGTCAATTGGCCGCCTAGATCGTGTGATTTAACGCCGTTGGACTATTACTTGTGGGGCCATGTTGAGGCTAATGTCTACAGGAATAAACCAGCAACGATTGACGCACTGGAAGCCAATATTGAAGCATTTAGTCGTGAGATACCGGCCGATATGTTGGAGAGAGTGTGCCAAAACTGGACCTTGCGCATGGGCCATCTAAAGCGGAGCCGCGACCAACGTTTACATGAAATAATCCTTAAACATTAAATTATATCGACCGTTTTATCGACTCAAATGAAGATTTAATCGTTTTTTTCAAATTTTTTGTGTTTTTTTTTAAAATCAAATCCTACACCTCTTAAAAAATCACCCGTTATTATTGATTACTATTGGTAGTTGGAACCAGTTCTGCTCTGTATTTACCTCGAGCATGGGCAGAAAAATAAATCGGAATCACTTCTAAACTGTTTGTTGGAACAAACCTATTGGGAATCCAACGATGGACAGAACGTTTGGATAACGAATACGACGATGCTGTGGCTCAGCAGAGTGGATTTTTTCTTTTAATTAGTAACAGGTGTTAATTCTTCAATCAGCTTTAGCTACCTAGACGCTACTACCGGTACTTCTTTCACAACCACCCGGCTGATTCTTGACTGATGACCGAGGTGTACGTGAGCCCGACACAATATATAATCTTTGACGGTACGAGCAGTGCCTCTCGGTACTCGTGGGCGGTACGCAGCTTCCATGAAATAACGTTCTCAATTAATATCCTGTTATCAAATGAAAATCTGTTGGGTACCAATTTAACGAACTGACCATCCGGCTATAATTACAAGCGTTTACGCTTTTAATTATTCTTATCTCGTACTAATATAATAACACGGTGGTAATGGGAAATCGGCGGACGAACTGGGACGTTGCGCATAGAAATTGTCAAAAAAAAATTCTGATGAAGATCCTCCTTTTGTTACAAGTTGATCTATGTAAACATTCACACCACGCGCTGGGGGTATTACGTATCTTGAAAAGTGACATTAAGGGCCAATTTCACCAACAACAGCCCGTTATTCTCCACCTATAGGGTAACAGACCGTCAAATGCAACGAATGAGCTTCAAGTTCCAATCGACAAATTTTAGCAACCAATAGCTATGAAATGTTGAAAACAAAATACTGCCAAAGTATGAGATGACAGCTTGATATCGAAACATCACCAGCTTATTGAATATTAGATTGATATTCCCACAAAACCATTCAGGTTTTTTGATATCCACACATCCATAAAGTTGAATATTTTTCGTTGTTCAGGAACTGAACAAACATCCACACTATATTCACAGCGCTTAAGAAATTCCCAAATATATGCCTTAAAGCTACCAGCAAACCTAAAACCTGCAAAAAAAACTACAAATTTGCCATATTTTTCTTTTTTCACGAGTACACATTCTAGGTTATATTTATATTAGACATTATTTAAATACAGCTGATTATTGTATTTCAAGGAGTGACACATGTGTGGGATCTGTCAACTCTTGGTACCAGTCACAAAACATATACTCTGGAGGTTTAATTCCATGCTATTCAATGACAACACGGTGACTTGTGTGGTTGTCAGCGGCCATTTTGTGAGGATGCGACAGGGTTGCCAGATTGTGCATTAATATCGAGTTTCACTTCATACGTTGTTACCAGACAATGTCTGTTTTTTGTTACATTATGTAGGTTTTCTTATGCTAGCTGTGGTTTACTCGTTGTGTGGATGTATGTGTTGCCTAAACGTCGTGATTCTTGAGCAACCATCGTTTGGCTCTGATGTGATGTAGCATCTGCTACAGAAATGGCATATTGGGCGTCTAAGCCATGAGGTGTTCACTATAGCTGGGAGAAAATGGGCGAAACGGTGCTCAGAAATAACTTGCGTGCTGAGAAATTGTGATGTGGATATCAAGTGATGACTCACATGTTTTTATATCTACAGGTACACCGATGTACAGTGCAACTCCGATTATCCGAATCGCGATTATACGAAATCCGAAACAGATCGCGTACAATAATTTCTCCGTTTTAACCGAAATTGTTCGGGAAATCGACGCACGATCCGAAATAGCCGCCGGTAGTTCCCCTTTCGGCGTTTGCGTCATTAGATTCGCTGTCGGTGATTCCCCAAGCGCTTTTGCGCAATTCACTGGTATGAGTGCGTGTATGTTTGTTTCAGTCAGCTTCATAAATCGCTAAGACGGAGCAGCATAGAAATAAACGTAAACGCGTTGTTATTACCACATAACAGAAACTCGAGGTAATCAGACGTTTGGATAGAGGTGATTTGCTTAAAAACGTGGCAAGTGATTTGGGTGTGGGCGTAAGTACCATTTCAGAATGGAAAAAACAACGCGAGAAAACCGAAAAGTGGTCTAGTGTTCTGACATCATCGCAGATGCGACCAAGAGCTTTTAAACACGTGCGGTCCAACGCTCTTCCAGTGTGGTATAAAAATAAATAAAAAAATTGCCTGGATGGACGCCGCTCTATTTAAGGACTGGTTTTACAATCATTTTGTTCGCAAGACAGTGAGGAGCAACTTAAGGATGGAGAAATACGAGTAATGTTTTTGCCTCCTGATGTAACGCCTCTGATTCAGCCGATGGATCAAGGAGTTTTAGAAAATTTAAAACGCAATTACAGACGTTTGTTATTATAGCAAATTTAAGATCAAGTTATAATAGTTGTAACCTCGTCGATTGCTTAATAGAGATTAACCTCAAGAATGTGGCATATCGGATAGCAGAAGCATGGAGACAAGTAAAACATTCTACTTTAAAAAAATCTTGATCGAAAATAATTCGGCAAGAAATAAAACCTTGCGCAGACTATGCTGGTCGTAGAAATAGCAGGGCGTGAAAATCTTACCCAATCAGATGTTGGTGAGGGGATTAATGGTGATGAATTGGTGGAAGAATTAACTGATATATACTAAGTGACATATAAATCCGAACACCCAGTTTAAATGGTTTTATTTTAATAAAAGTTGGTGAATGTATTTATCTTGCTGTAAATAACAAGTGAAAAAATTTTCAGTCTTATCAGTTGGACATTCCGGTTTTTATACTGCTTTTTTTTAATTCACTAACGCTCTAAAAATGAATATTTCAGCCGCAGTAAAGAATCAACGTTGGCGGATTTTGGTTCTTGACATCCTTTACGATCGGTTACGATGCCTAGAGTATGGAGACCTGTACGATTTCGTCAACTTAGTGAGTCGTATAGTGGGACTTCGGGAAGCTGGACTTTCTTTTCGGGCAATTGCAGTTAGAGTGCAAAGAAGAAGGAGAACACTGTGGTTAGGTGTTGTCAGGCATGGCTTCGAGAAGGCCGTACGCAAAGAGCAAGGGGCACTGGACGCCGCCGTAGAACAACAGACCGTGAAGATCGCCGCCTAAGATTATTGGCCTTAAGGGACCGTTTCTCCACTACCAGGTCCATCGCAAATGAATGGTTTGCAGAACACGGAAGACCTATTGGCATGCGAAGTGTTTACCGACGAATGAGAAGTTTTGGCTTGTTTTCATACCGGCC